ATAGCCAGCAATTCTGAGTTTCCATTCTACTGACATCCCAGTTTACTATGGAGGTCAGGAGTATAGGAACTGTATTGCAACAATAGGGTGTCGTTCACGGATCTCAACTTTTCAGAAGTGATCGATTGCGTAACAGCCAAAACCCAGGTTATCCATGGTTCTTGATGCAATCGAGACCAACTGACACTTTGAGGTTGCCTCCTCCTGACCTTACTGCGACAGCACAGGTCAGGGGCATAGGTTACCCCGTGAGTATCTCAGGTTTTCCTCTTCAGGCAAGAGTGTTATCTCCATAACTCCCTTCATCTGCTGGTTCATTACCAGAAAGTGAAGTATGGGCGCGAAGGTCCGCTCTCCCTGGGGGGGGTATGTAATGAAACCTGCAGATTCTCAGTGGACTGTACATTAGGCTGAGGGCGAAGCCTGGGGCTTGCCTCGGTCTGGTCGCGTCGTAGGTTAGATTCGTGATTTTGTGTTTTCTGTGTTTTGTTGTCTGTGCGGTTGCTGCGTTTTTTTTAACGCATTGAGGTGCGATGACGTGCTGATTTCTGCTGCCGTGACCAACGGCGAGGTTGTACTCTGTTGTGTGTGCTTGTTGTGTTTTGCAGCGTGCTTTGTTGTGTGTGTGCGTGCAGAGTTTTGGGTCACACTGAGGCCTATATGCTGTTCTAAAAATAGACCGGCTCCGGCCCTGCGATTGCAGGCCCAGTCTTCCCCGACGTCATAAAGGCCCTAAGGGCCTACAATGGGTAGAGCTCGTAGCTTGGAAGGGCCTAGAGGCCCTAAGTCGAAACGGTACSGGTAGMGCAGTTTCRGTCCAGTAGGTCTAGGGTAGAATCTAGAAATAGGACAGGCCGAGTAGGTTTAGGACTTTTGGCTTTTCATTTTTCGCGTGCAGCGTTCGTGGCCAACCACGTTTAACAGCGCTGAATGTCTACAGCGGCACCTGCGACATCAGCTGCGTGAAGCGGCCATGGCCGGCCTACCTGAGACAGCCATAGCTGGGGCTGTGCTCAGCGCATCTATCCCCAGGGGATATCTGCGTTTGGCAGGACTATTGGAGGGTCTTCACTGAGTACATGTGGGTACTGCTGCTGCGGTAGCAGCTAGGCAGCCATAGCTGCCTTCTTCATCGTCAGAGTGACTTATCCGCACTAGAGACTACTTCGCTGTTCATGATCTGCATCTGGGTGTATAGCGCTGGCCTGTAGGAGGCTGTTTCTGTGCAGCGCTAGACTCTGAGAGTGCAGTAGTGAGTGGAGTGTGTGGTTCTTGAGTGGCGAGATACTGGGTTGAACTCTGTTACGATAATTGAGGTTAACTGTGTTGAGTTGGCTCATCATCTNGTGGTTCTTGAGTGGCGAGATACTGGGTTGAACTCTGTTACGATAATTGAGGTTAACTGTGTTGAGTTGGCTCATCATCTGGGTTACTTTCCAATTGTGATCTTCGCAGTGTTATCCTGTGATTGGTTGTTGGGAGTTCATCAGAGAGAGAGAACACTGTGTGTATTCTCCCCGTCTGTGCATGGTTGTTATTCCGCTGTTTATCTCTGGTCTGTGTGCAGGTGGACTCTGTCTCTTCCTCCCCTGTGTCTCATGCATGTATGGGCGTGAGTGAGTTCTTCTGTGTGTGAGTGGCAATCAAATTGTCAAACAACCAAGTTCATAACATAAGAGTTCACTTTCAAGTGGCTATGGCGACTCAGCGCCCAAACAACTCACTGTTCACACACACTGGACCACCCTAGATATCCCACACCCGTAACTCTGAACACTCACACATACACACACACTTCACACTAAGCTATGCTATGGCAGCTATGGCTGCCACTACCCTATCACTATACTAAGCTCCTCCTCTCTCGCCCACTGCGTCCTTCGGGCTCACTGCAGACCTCCTTGCACAAGTCGCTATGACAGCGCTTCCGTATGGCTCACGCAGGAATGAATCCAAGGTTGGGCGCTGCCTCTTGATTTATACTTCGGAAACTCGTTGGTCTGCCCTTTGCCATCGGCCCATGGTGCTCACAGTCCCCCATGGTACTTGCTGGACCGGACTGGGACTGACAGGACCTTACCGCTGCCTGACTGTGGACTCACTGCTATCCTACCGTCGTCGTACTGCAATTGCACTGCAGTTTAGTCCACCACTTGCCTCGCCACTTTACCACTTGCCCACTTGCCTACCTTCTAGAAGGACTACAACTAGACTTCTGGAACTTGCTAAGACTTCTACTCTATAGACCTACAGATCGAACCCCTGCTGCYTATGRACCTACGACAGACCTACCAACTGCCTACGAATACACAGGTCACAGGTTCAACTCTTGGGGTCTACACAGATACTGTACATGGGTAGGGTGAGGTCTAGGGATCGAGCCCTGGGTACTGCATCTGCTACTGCTGAAAGGTGAAAACCGTTTCACTCCCGCCGTCCTAAATTCGAGGTCCTCCGAGAATATTTCAGTCCAAGGCAGGACCTTTACCCTTCTTGTCGCACTCGTAGGCTCTGACTATGTCCGGAGTTGTCTCTAGAAGCTTTTTTCTTGTAAACCAGCGGTCGTCTTCCGGTTCCTGATAAGCAAACCGGACCTGACCTCTACCTCCTGTTCTGAAGACATCCTCATCTACAATGCCGTCAATGTCATAACTCCCATCCATATCCGGGGGGATCATGGATCTTCTTGAAGGGAATTGTTGGCTTGTGACACACGGCAACAACTTTGAAGCATGGAATATGGGGTATGTGTGGAGGTGTGCTGGGATTTGTATAGTGTAGGACGGTCCATCCTCTCCGCCCTTGACTTCTAGAATCGGCCACGGTCCTCTATATGCATGCAGTAACTTCTGCGAGATGTTTTCTTCAGGTGCAAACTCTTTTGCCTTGACCCAGACTACGTCGCTTACTTGAAACTGTGATGGGCGACGGTGCTTATTAGCCTGTTCTATCATCCTATGCTGAGCCTTCCGAAGGTTCTCAACAACAGTAGCTAATTCCTTTTCGTGCTGTATCGCAAACTCCCTGGTACCGGGCGGTAGTCTGTGAATCTGGTCCCGGTTCAGTCCTTCAAACGGTCTGCGTGGTCTAAAGGACTTGTGCAACTAATTGGGAGTGCGGCAGGTGGATAGATGCACACTGTTATTGTATGCACTAGCTACCTTAGGCAACATCTCATCCCAGTTGATCTGGTCTGGTCTAATGTACATGCGCAGAACTTGTTGTAGGATCTTGTTAATCTGTTCTGTCTGACCGTTGGTCTCCGGATGACGGCCAGACGACATCAATAGCTTAGATCCGTAGACTCGCATGAGTTCTTGCCAGTTCGGGGTGGTGAAACGACTGTCTCTATCGCTAACTATTGACAATGGGATTCCATTCTCACTAACCCAAAAGTCAAAGAACTTTTGTATCACTAACTCTGTACGTGCCTCCGCAGGCAAAGGAACAAAAACTGCGTACTTACTAAAACGGTCAACTATGACCATGACTTGGCTCTTACCATGTCTGCTCTTGACTTGGGTGTCCATGAAGTCTATGGACACTGAGTCTCCTGGCTGATCCGGAATAGGCAAAGGTCTAAGATGACCTAGAGGGGCGTGCATAGTAGTCTTATTTCTCTGGCACACTTTGCAACTGCGAACATACTCTATGCAGTCATTCTTCATTCCGGCCAAGTGTACGTGCGCATTAGATTGGCTAGTGTCTTTTGCCAACCGAAATGCCCCTCAGTATCGTGGCATTCCCCTAGGATCAAACTGCGGATCTCTTCGCTGTTGGCAACGCACAGGTGGTCAAATACGTTAGTCTTCTCAAACAACAACCCGTCTGTAGTGCGGTAATCTGGTTCAGTCTCTAGGGCCTCTCTAACTCTCTTTAGAAGGTCGCTATAGATAGGGTCATGCGCATACGCTTGCTTCACTTTCTCCTACAAGTCTCTCCCTATATCCAGATAATGTACTATGGCTCCAAAGTAGTTTGATCTCCTACTCAGAGCGCCCGCAACTACGTTGTACTTGCCCTTCACTGGGTTAAGCTCAAAGTCATATTGGTCTATCTCTGCGGCCCACCTAATCAACTTAGGTGTCATCTTGGCCTGAGTCTTTAACCATCCAAGTGTTTCATGGTCAGAATACACTTTGAAGTGCCTCCCAAGCAGGGAATGCTTCCAGTGCTCCAAAGCCTGCCTGAGAGCGTAGAGTTCTCTCTCATACGTCGAGGTGGCTACCTTCTCTGAGGGCATCCTCGCTGACATGAACTCTACGGGTCTATAACCATTGCCGTCATCTTGCTGCAATACGACGCCTATACCATACCGACTTGCATCCGTGGTGACGACAAATGGTAGCGACTGATCAGCTACTTTGAGGACATGATACTCTATTAACGCGCACTTTAATCTCTTTAGCGCAGACGTGCAGTCTCTATCCCATGGCCAGATTGCCTCTTTCTTAAGCAACCTGCATAGGGGAGCGGCGATAGTAGAGAAGTTTCAAACGAACTTCCTATAGAAGTTAGCTAGGCCTAGAAACGACCGCAACTCTGTCAATGTGTGGGGCGTCGGCCAATCTCTAATTGTCGCTATCTTGCTGTCCTCTGGCTTAATGCCATCTCCGTCTAATACGTGGCCCAAGTACAGGACTTGTGTCTTGGCCCACTCACACTTCTTTGGATTGATCTTGAAGTTAGACTCTCTTAGCTTCTCTAAGACCTGCCTCAGATGACCCTGGTGCTCCTGGAGGGTCTTATTAAAAACTAAGATATCATCTAAATAAACTACTACAAACGCTGAAAGGTGGCTGGCGCGTTGGTTAGTCCAAAGGGCATCACTATAAACTCATAGTGCCCATATCTAGTCCGGAACGTAGTCTTGTACTGGTCATCAGGGTGGACCTCTATCTGATGATAACCGGACTTCAAGTCTATCTTGGAGAAATACTTACAACCCTGCACCCGATCTATCTTGAAGAATGCTGAGCCGCGACTCCATAAATACTTACCGTGAAGAATGTTGAGCCGCGGCTCAGCATTCTTCACGGTAATCGCATTCAAACCCCTATTGTGTATACACATTCTCAGCTCTCCTTCCTTCTTGGGGACGAACAAGACTGGTGCTCCAAAAGGAGACGAATTGGGCCTGATCCAACCTTTCTCGAGGTGCTCGTCTAACTGCTTGCGAAGCTCCTCTAACTCTTTAGGGGACATCCTGTAAACTGCGCCCTTAGGAGTTCTACTGCCAGGATCTATCTCTATCCTGTGTTGGATGGGTCGCGACACTACTCCTGTCGGCGACTCAGTCAAGTCTTTGAACTCTTCCAGCAGTTTGGCAATCGATGGATCTCTGGAACTATCCTTTTCCTTGGCCTCAATGACAGGTCTGACATAAACTACAAAGACCTGATCCTCTAACTGCTCCTTTTTGACTAATCGCGCGAACGCGGGAGCACTGAGACAGCAATGTGCCAAGGTGTTGTCCACACCTGACACATGGAACAGGCGGGCAGTCTTAACCTCGCCTAATGGACTAGGGAGCCTACACTCATGCTCTCTCAAGTGGAGTGTGGCCCCTGCTGCCTCTCCCCAATCCACTCCTAATACTACGTCAAACGGAAGGTCATCCTGTACGAGGAGAACCAGGAAATGGAGAACTTTCTCCACCTTCCCATCTTTCTCTAGGCGAAAGTATGCCTGGACTCCCTCTACATAGTCCTGAACACGCATCGTGCGGTTCTCTGCGAGGACACTGACTATGGGGTTTGCCAATTTCTGGACTTATAATCCTAGCCTTAACTTTTTCAACGCTCTGCGGCTAATGTAACTGCGGGTGGCCCTTGAGTCTATAAGGGCCCCTACTCTACTCCTGAAAACTTCTACATCTACCAAAATCAGTTGTCCCTTACTCTCCTTCTTCATTTTGGCCCAGGCGGGCATTCTCTCCTTCAGCTCATCTGCCACGCCTGTGAGGGACGTGCCTAGAGGGAAGCTAACACAAGCGGTCTCTGGACAGCTAGCTAGACACGGGCCTGCAACCTCTGCCGTAGGCTCATGTGGGTTGGGAGTGTCTTGTTCGCGCGCACTCACTTCTCTACATGGCCTTGAAGTAGGGGCAATTGCGACCCCTACTGGCGGCTGCCTTTTGACTGTTGGGCAGCCCAACGGGCCTGTCTATACTTAGGAAAAATTTTAATTACGTGGGCCGGGTCACCACAAAATATGCACTGACCCAAGTTCACGCGTTCCTGCCATAAAGACTGGTCCAAGCCCAAATCTTCCCAGGGCCTGCCCTGTGGCAAGCCCGGGTGCCATCCTCCTTGAGTCTACAGAGGCTATTGCTTTGGCGCCCTCGATAGCGCCCTCACAAAACTTCCCCACATTGTCTCTCAGTTGCTTTACTTCGCCCCCAATGTGGGTAACCATCTCGCGCGCAAAATCTCTAAATCCCGACCGCATGGCACTCGAAGCTACGTCTTGGCTACAACTGGCCTGGCGCTCCTCCATCCAAGCTTTGCTCAGCACCTCCAGGTAGCCCAACACCTTATCCCACTTGGCCTTATCATCTGAATGGGCCAACACTTCCTTCCTACACTCCTGCACCTTTGCCACCTCTGCGATCAGTTTATTCACTTCCTCTCTCCTCCTCTTCTTATCCCTCTTCATCCTCAACTTCCATGCTAACTTCTGCTCCTCCTCCCTTTCTCGCCGTTTCATCGGATCTATCATTTCTGCTAGCTCATTGGCCAGTGCTTCCCTCTCATCCTGAGTCACATAGGACTCTGCCTCCTCATCTTCTCCCAACGATAAATTAGCAACCCACTCACTTATTTTCCTCTCCATCTCTGCGTCTGTGTCCCTCTTCGTGCCACTACTTCCCTCTCTACTCTCAATACGCATTCTTTTTTTTTCTTCTTCTGCTGCCGCTTCTTCTTCAACAGCCTTCTTCTTTTTCTCCATCTCCTCCTCCAATTCCTTCATATTGGCCGCCTGCTCCTCTCCGATAGCCTTTAACTTCGCCTGCTTCTCGCGCTCTTTCCTCTCCCTGTTCTCTTTCACTAAGGCGACCATCTTTTCTTGCTGCTCCTTGGTGTAGGGCTAGTGTCTATCCCACTACGGGTCTCAACCATGGTGACAAGTGTACAAGCGGATTAGTGGTTCCAAACCTCACCACGTAGACTCTGACCCCTGACTGACAAACCTATTGACTCGATCTAAGGACTTATAGAATCCTGACAATGATCCTGTCAGATATGGTCTCTAGCCTAGACCTAACTATGGTTGTCACTACTAGACCTTTGCTGATCAGGAGGCATTTAAGGAGATCCCCTGAACTCCTCAGGAATTATTTAACGTCGCAAACAGGACGACATGATCAGCAGGTCCCTCAAGACTTAGACGGTCTGTTGTACAGCCCACAGCTCGGATTTTGAGGCCTACCGTGCCACACCGAGCAGCCCGCCGGTCAGTACCGGTCCTTGGGAGGGTTTGACCTCCGGGACAGTCGAGTCGTCAGACACAGCTTTTAGCCCTACTCATCCCGTGTAGGTTTGGTCAACAAGACCGTATCCTTCATCCACAGAGTGCTATCACCTAGGACAGAAGAGACTTGATGCAAAAAGAATACACAGACAGACTGGACTCAGCAAGTACCAAGGGGTGTGCGCACATCCATAGGGCGAGGGGTAGGCTGAAGGCTTGGCGAGATGTTACCGGCTCCAGCTTGGTCAAAGTCTTGGTCAACGCCTTGGTCAACGCCGGTCAACGCTGCTATAGCCCCCGGTCAACTCCCGGTCAACTCCGGTAACCGCTGGTCAACACCTCCGGTCAACCCTCTTGGTCAACCCTCCGGAGCTATGGCTGCCGGCTCTTCTTCCTCACCAACCCTCTTCTTCCCCTTCACCTTCCTCGCCTCCTTTCACCCCGGCTGTCTTTTTTTTTTTTTTTTTTTTTTTTTTTTTTTGATCGGCCCTCTCTTCACCTCTCGGCTATGGCCTCCTCTCCCTTCTCGGTCTCTCCCCCTCTGTCCGGTCTCTCTCCCTCCTTCACTACTCCGTGGTGATACTCCGCGGCTATGGCCGCTTCTTCTTCCTCCACGTGGGACTGCACAACTCGCTTCATAGGTAAGTGACAACCAAACTTGTATCGCTCATCTCTCTCTCTCTCTCCTCGCCGTAGCGGTATAATCAGCGCAGCAGGTACGTAGTTACCCAATCTTGTATCGCTCAACCTTTCCTCTCTCTCTCTCTCTCTCTCTCTCTCTCTCTCTCTCTCTCTCTCTCTCTCTCTCTTCGTCGTGGTCTTCTTGCAGGTGCGCGGCGGCTTCTCCAACCTCAGGTCCGCTATGGCGGACTATACCCCTCGGCGGCCACCTCTGTTATGGCGCATCAGGCCCTGCACATGATGACGGGCATGGAATAGCGGGTACCGGCTCCAATACCAATGCAATCAGACTCGTTCTCATTCACACTTTTAATGCCTGTAAACAACAGCGCAGCAAACTGGCGACATGCGCCCACTCAAAACTCAGAGATATGGCATCCAGATAAGAGTTGACTTTCACACTTTTCATGCCTGTATTCTCACTAGCACTCTCCAGAATGTATCTGACTGCACTCAGGGCCAAATCTTCATTTTCTTTCTTTTTTTGTTCCTTTTCAGTCTTTCCTCCTATTACACATGCTCGGTCACCCGACGTCGAAGAGAAGATTAAGGGTTAGAAAAATCAAAAAAGAAAAAAGAAAAAAAAGAAGGGAAGGGAAAAAAAAAAAAAAAAGTTCTTGGTAGACGTACCGGTCACCTGACGTTGAAGGACAGGTCTCCCGTTGTATATCTGCTTTTCACCCGCTACTTCCTACCGAAACAAAGAGGTTGGGAAGCTGAAAAAAAAAAAGGTTCGGAGGAGTGCTTCGTACGGTATTGGTGGTTTAATGTGTTTTACAGCCTGTTGTAGCATCTGTTCGTACTTGACAGCGAACTCTATGCTGCCAGATGCTGTTTTGGCTGGCTTTCAGGTAACAGGAAATCGAGTGCGGATCTGGGCTTCCAACCAAGATGCAGTTGGCTGGGAGTCATGCCAGTAGTGTTGTGCACCACATTATTGTACAGGCTGGCGACAAGGGATAATTTTTCATCCCAGTCATCTTGACTTGGCTTGATGTAATACCGTAGCAAGTACTGCACTACTCGGCTCATCGGTTCCGCCTGGCCATTTGACTCAGGGTGATTCCCTGATGTCATCCCTAGTCGGGTGCCCATCTGTTGGGCAGTACTCTGCCACAATTTGCTGGTGAAGCGCACGTTGCTATCACTAGCAATGGACTTGGGGAACAGAAAGTCCCGTCCCCAGTTATCCATGAACAGCTTGATAACATAGTCAATTTTTGTTGTTTCTGGCATGGCAATCAGCCTAGCATACTTGGTAAATCGGTCCACTATGACGAAGATGTGCCTTTTTCCGCTCTTGCTGGTCACAAGAGTATCCATGGACACACTTTGACCGGGACCTTCAGGGATAGGCAAGGGCTTGATGAGCCCAAGTGGAGCCTGAGTCCTGGGCTTGTCCCGTTGGCAAACCTGGCAAGTCTCAACATATTTCTTCATATCTTGCAGCATAGAGGGCCACCAGAATTTCTGCACTAAGTTAGCTGAGGTCTTCTTATAGCCAAAATGACCAGTTGCATCATGACATTCTCCTAAAAGCAAACTACGCAAAGACTCCCTATCTGGAACACAGAGTCTTTTATTCCCAGCCATCTCAAGGAAGAGCAAGCCATTGACCATCATAAATTCATTAGAAGTGACTTCGTCTTTAGCTTCTAACTTACGGATGATCTCTGACAGAACTGCATCTTCCTGATTGTTACGATCCTGGTCATTCCCAAAGTGCAAATTCACGATGAAAGACAATGCCACCCAATGGCGGAAGAAATCAAAGCACTTGCAAAGAGAGAGAGACCAAAGAAGAGAGAGAGAGAAGAAGAAGACGAAGAAGAAGAAGAAGAAGAAGAAGAAGATGCACACCAGCAAGACCAATGACAAATCCCCCTTCTCTCTCCACCTTCCTCCTCCTCCTTCACTTCACCAATCTTATTCTTCTTCCAATAATGATAATAACAATGAGTGGATGAACCAGAATCAATCTTCAAAGTTCCCTCTTACTGCTGACATCACAATAGGTCCACCATAGCTATGGCTTCCCCGCTTCTTCCACCTCTCACATGCCTAGGCTATGGCGGACTACTTAGGGCTCTGCCCTCCTGTGCAAAGGACAACGCAAAAGCAGCTATGTCGCTGCACTCTTGTCCAAAGGACAACCCAAAGCAGCTATGCCGCTGCTGACTAATCGCCATGCCTAACTCTGCCTCGAGCTTCCTTGGTGCGACACTACCCCAACTGGGGCCTTCCAAATGCAACACCCAACAAGGTGATGAAGATGGTGTCCACCATAGCCAGGTAGGTGCCTCGCCACTCTCCTCCTTCGTCCCCTTCTTCCTCCTCCTCAGGCCGGGCTGCTTGCCATAGCCAGGCTGAGCACCCAGCTACTCGTCACCTCCAGGCAGTGCTGCCCAAGTCCAGCGCTTGGCTCCAACAGCATGTCGCCAATCCTTGCATACCGCAAATGAGGAGTTGCTTGCTCCTCCGAAAGATATAGCAGCCTACTGGCCTCTTGGGCGGTGACTCCCTAGGCCGAGCGGCCTCCCAACAACCGGTACTTCCTCCCTTTCGGAGGGTAACATCATTGCAGGCTCTGCTATCGTCCGGACAGGCCCTAGACTTGGGCTACTTGGCCTGGTACCGGCCTACCTCTAACCTATCGCTACTGAGCCTCTAAAAATGCCAACTTTTTATCTTCTTCTGCTCGGCCTCCAGTACCCGACACTTCTACCACTACTTGAGTGGTACCGGCCTACCGGCTACTTGAGTGTTTTTCCCACTGCTCCAAGTGTCGCAGTGTCGCACTTTTTCTAGTCGGGCCTCTCCAGGCGACCAAAAAGCCAACAGGCTGTCACGCAGGATTTTGGACGATATGTGCCATAAATGAAATAAATTAATTAAAGCAAATCCCTTCCTGTTGTGTGTGTCCGGTGTAGGGCTAAACCCCGGTAGACTTTCGAGCCTTAGTCGACCCCATTGCGGGTCCCATTTGGCTCGGCCCGCCCACGCTCATGCTCAGGGCCCGGGTCATTTGTCCCACAATCACCCCCACCTAGTGCTTTGAGATGGATGGGGGTGGGCCATCGCGCGAGAGAGCTTTGACATTGGGGATGTAACTCAACCCTCACGCCGGGTGGTAGTCTCGCTGGTCATTCGACAGTGCTGATTTTTCTTTTTAATCTTGGTTGTGTTCTTAGACAATTGCTCTTTCCAATACGCACGCAGTCCAGGGGTTCCTTGAGAGTTTTCTTCTATTGTGCGCGGGCTAAGCGTTATCCTTAGGCCGCACACCATTTCCCTAAACATTGTGATCCTGCGGCGTCATCGGGGTGCGGCGATGCCGCCCTCCCCCTCCCCTCTACACATCCATCGGGTCCCATGTATCCCATTCAATCCTATTGACGCAGACCCCTTAGTCTTTTCGGGGCCATTACATGCATGCACACACAACTTCACACTTCCCTTGGCAAGATTGCACTCCATTCTCTCATTCCCACTCCAAGTCTCATAAGAAAAGGTCATTCCCATGGATTGGCTTTAAGCTAAGGGTCCCGTAGCTCCTTTTCCCTCTTCCCTTTTCCTTTTGCCGCCCGGTTCCTCCCGGCCCTATCCCGCTCAAGGCATCTCTAGCCTTCACTTACCTGCACAGTCCCACACAAAGCAAAGATCCATACAATCCCCCGTTGGGGGTCAACACATAGCCCTTCCCACATGCCTATCTTTCCATGCTCTTTGGTTGCTCTTTGTTCCCTTTCTTCTGCTCAATCAGCCCATCCTCTTCTCATAGTCATGCAGTCGGGGAAATGGTTGAATCAAACTGACCTTGCTTCAACTTATACTTTCTCCGGATTCCGTCCTTTCCCACTTTTCCAAACGTCCTTTTCCTTTGCTTTCTTGGTGGCACAAGGGACCGGCTACCCTTCCCTTGCCCTCTCTCTCCACCAAGTGAGGTCTGATCTCTTTTTACTGTTCGCACCCTGACAATGTAACAAGTGAGGGGAGAGGGGTTAGTCATATGC